TTCTTTCTTGAGATTTTTTTCTTGTAGCTAACAAATTTCACTGGTTATTTTGTGTTATGGCATAAACGTATCAATTTTTCATTTGTGACTGGGCGCTTTTTTTATATAAAAAAATAAAACTATATAAAAAACACAAAATTTTAATTAATTACTTACCAACATATACACTGTAACCACTTAATGATTCTGTGATATTTCTTTGTGAGATCTGCAGGGAGATGAACATGTATTTTTGTCGTTTCGAGTCATTTCGATCTGTCTCCCCTCGATATCAGTCTATCAGTACTTTTAGGCATTTTGCCATATAAAATGTTCAGGGTTATAAGAAGGGTGAGCCAAGGCACCACCGACTTCTTCCATGAGAATTTTGCCTATCACTAACAAATTACACTGACTATTTTGTGTTATCAATTTTTCATTTCTCTGGACGTTTCTTTTTTTTTATATAAAAAGAAAACTATGATCTATAAAAACAGATTTTGTACTTAATTATTTCTATTGACATTGTTTATTTGTTATATGACTGTGTTTTGTTTTTTTGAATATAAAGTGCACACAAGCCGTGAATAAGCTCTCAGTCATTTGGAGAGATGGTTTTCGTATATTTATAAGAAACAAGTAAGCAGTTTTTTATTATACATACAAACAAAGTTGAAGGGAGGCCAAATGACAACCAGTTTAAATCGAAAATAATCTACTATAAACAAGTCGAGAATCGTTCGTAATACAGGCATGGGTAGTTGATTTCTCCGATTACTCCTAGTAAAAGTCTTAAAAATTCAAAAATGAAAAATTTGGATTTTAATAGAAGAGACTGTCGATTAGAAAGTCAAATCAGATATCCACTTTCCGGACAAACCATTGATATTATTGTTTGTTTACACGCATTGCTAACCACCCACGCTTTATTATTGTAAACAAATACGCCGTAATGTGAGACCGTTTTCAGGCCTTACTTTTGGCAACATGAGACAAAATAAAGTCTATTTTCGCATTTTATTATTGTTTCATTTTTAGAAAAGGTCAAATTTATATGGCTGCCCATGGGCACTGACCGTACTTACGTTTAACGTAATTGCTTTTTTTTTATTGTGGTTTAATGTAGTGTCCCATGTAGACAAAGATATGTACTTTGGCCTAATGCTTAAATAAATTGTTGAAAAATGGTTCCAGTGGTTTAAAAATTAGCAATCTGAAGAAACGAACAAAGTTAACCTTTACACCGTAGTGACCAGTCAGACGCTTTTCGAAATTTCGCCATCTTCAGTGGTTGATTAGGGTTATAAAAAGTAATATGTATTAATTTCAGCTTACATTTATCGTATATTCATTACTAATGCTTTCTTACTCTTAAATATATACAAGAATAGGCAATTATTATTTATATTCAAAAGTTTATTTGTTTGCCTGAGCAAATCTACGCTGACAGTTGAATAACTATGACTATATTTCATTTTGGTGTTGCTTGGTGAGGAAGCTACGATTTGCTCGTTTCCGATCTTCATGGTCGGCCCTTTCTTTTGGTCTTTTTGACGAACTTCTGATTCTCTCCGTCTTGTTGATCAGGGATATAAACAGGGAGAAGCGAGGCGCCGAGTCCTTCTATTCATGGACGTTTTGCCTTAGAGATTTCTGCTCTTCCACCTTCTAATTACTTCTAATTACGATACTTACCATCAATTCTAATTACCATACTTCACCAGTGATATCCGTCTATAATATTTTTCCAACATGTTAAGGCATTATGTTATAGCCAATTATTGGTTAGGGGATAAGCAGGGAAAGGCGAGATGGAGAATGTTTACATTTATGCGAATTTGGGCTGAGAGATGACTTCTCCTCATCCTGATATAAAACCCAGTATTTAAGAACATCAAAATACGTCTTAATTGTGCATTTAACATGTTTCGACTTTATGCTATGTTCAATTGTTCGTCAAGGTTATAAACAGGGAGAGGCAAGGCACTGGGTGTTTTGGATCTATTTATGCGAATTTTGCCGAGAGTTGTCTTCTCAAAGATTCTACACTGAAGAATATCATGATGCGCCTGAATTGTGTGTTTAACGTGTTTCGATACTATGCCATGTTCAATTATTTGCCAGGGTTATAAGCAAGGGGGAGGCAGGGCAATGAGTTCTTCTGATAGCTTACAGTTATTTATGAAAATTTTACCTGAGAGCTTCCCAAATCTGAACTGAAAAATATCTGAATTGTTTATTCGATTTGTTTTGATTTTCGTACGGACTTCTGGTTCTCTCCATCTGGTTGGCCAGGGTTATAAGCAGGGCAGTAAGGCTTTGAGACCTATTCATGAAAATTTTGCCTTAGAATTTTCTATTCATCAACATAATAAAACCCACCAGTGACGAATGTCAAAATCCGTCTGAATTATTTTTCCAACATGTTAAGACATTATGTTATATCCAATATATTATATGTTATATTGGTCAGTGTTATAAGCAGGTAGAGGCAAGGCACTGAGAGATATTTATACGAATTTGCATTGAGAACCTGAATCCAACAGTGAAATATATCAAAATACATCTGAATTCTTATCCAACATGTTTCCATATTATTCTATCTTCAATTATTTTTCAGGGTTATAAGGAGGGAGAAGCAAAGCACTAAATCTTTATTTATGGGAATTCTCACTATTTAAGAATATCAAAATGGGTCTTAATTGTTTGTTCAACATGTTCCCACATTATTCCATCTTTAATTGTTGGTTAGGGATATAAACAGGGAGACGTAAGGCGTTTTTTTTTTTTTTTTTTTTTTTTTTTTTTTTTTTTTGTGGCATTGACCTTTTGTCTTCAGCCATGTTTGATGGCGTTGGGTTCTTCTATTTATGCGAATTTTAGGGATTTCTTCTCTTCATCCTTATAATAAAGCCAACAAATAAATAATGTCAAAATGTTTCTAAATTCAATCCAACATGTTTTGAAATTATGCTCTATTCAATTATTGGCCAGGGAGAGGTAAAATGACAAAATACTGAGTTCTTATGCTAGCATATAACTATGTGAATGAAACAAAAGAAAATTTGAATAAAGTGAAAAATGCAAAATGAATCTTAACTGAGGCCAACATGTTTCACGCAAAACTATATTCAATTGTTGGTTAGGTTTACAAGTATGGAGAGGCAATGTACAGATTGCATTGACATTTTGTATAAGAGTAGTCTTCATTTCACTCTTCTAATAAAACCAACCAATGAAGAATGTAAAAATGAATCGTTGGTTTAATACGTTTCGACATTATGACATGTTCATTGTTTGTTAGGGTTATAAACAGGGAGAGGCAAAGAAATGAGTTCTTATGCTCGCTTATAACTATTTATGCAAATTTTACCTGTCTTCTCAATTATAAACTGAAGAATGTCTGAATTGTTTATCTAACTACTTGTTTGGACGTTACGCCATCTTTATTTGTTAATCAGGGTTATAAGCAGGGAAAGGCGAGATACTGAGTCCTTGGCGAGCCATTGTATCACGAAATTGTGGACACCCGATTTTCCATTTTTTGTTCAATTAATATTCCGTTTGGAATATCTTTATTATTGTCAAGTCGATTGAAGCATATTCAAGTAAGAGAAATGGCTGTTTTTATACATTCAAATAGTTATTAAAGTAATTTTAAACTTAGTTTTCTAATACTAATTCTAGTCCGTCTAGTTTCGCGAGTTTTCTCTACCGCTTCATTTCACCATCTTTAACGGTTAAATCAGGGCGACAAGTTTACATTGTTCATGCCTTACTTTACTGTGATCATTTTAGATGGCGAAATGCCGAAACTTGTTTGACAGGATTAAAACAGAAAAGAATATGTATATATGTTCAAACAATCGGAAACGACGAAGCTACTGGTTCTTCACTTCGAAGAAATCATGAAGAGGTGAACAAGTCACGATTGTCTTTGTTTTAAATTCATCATGGAGAAATTACGATTTGTGTTTTAAACTCATCATGAAGAGGTCACGATTTGTCATTGTTTTAAACTCATCATGAAGAGGTCATGATTGTCTTTATGTTTTAAATTCATCATGAAGAGGTCATGATTGTTTTTATGTTTTAAATTAATTAAGGTTTTGGTTGAGATAAAAAAGTCTGTCACAAGCGGGATTCGAACCTACGTCCTTCGGCTAAAAACGCCGCTGTTCTACCACTTGAACTATCGTGACTTCGATCCACTCGGACACTAACTTCCCAACTCAACCCCTCTTTTTTTTTAATTTTCACTCCTTTTTGCCACAAAAAAAATGTGTAATCTATTCGGTTCTCGGCGACAAATGAAATGGCCACGGAGAGCTTTAGTGAATATATACTTCATTTTTACTTATTAAATTCATTAGAGTTCGTGGTCGGATTAAACAAATAAATGAATGAAAAAGTGCAAAAAGGAGGGAAAATTCGAAAGGTGGATTGAGATGGGAAGTTGGTGTCCGAGTGGATCGAAGACACGATAGCTCAAGTGGTAGAGCAGCGGCGTATATAGCCAAAGGTAGTGGGTTCGAATCCCGCTTGTGACACTGACTTTTTTTATCTCAACCAAAAACCTTAATTAATTGAAAAGAATTCATTCGGTCAAGCGGACCACAAAACCTAATAAAACATTTTAAATTAAGATTTTTTGTTGTTGTAAAAAATGATAAAAATCGCATTGCCTTTTTGTTGAAGGATTGTTGAATCTGTACTTGTGTCTTAAGCTGTTTGATTATAATTCAGTAAATGGCTTGGCTCAATTTGGGTTTGGAAGAAAATTGACGACATCGCTCTTGTTGACATTTTTACATCATGTGTGCTCTTTCTGTACTTTCTGTCGGATCGCATCATTTGCCATCTGCACATGTCTCTGTATTATTTGAAATGCAAAAAATCAAAACTAGTTTTGTTAGTCAACTTGCACCTTCCATGGGAGTGGTAGTGGAGTATGGACTGTGGAAGAGAGCCAGAGAGAGCCACTTGTTGCTTTGTGAAGAATTCTCTCCGATGAGACTGGTGGGAGTACACCAGTTCGTTTTTGGATGTGAGACGCTGTTCAGCCTTCGGTGTCGCACAACCCAAACCATTTGATCCGATACGAGAGAAAATTCGTACTTTTTTACTCGCAGATTTAAAAAAGTGTTTGAGTTCTTCAAAGGATAAACGAGTTCTTGCGGCGAGAGAAGAAACCATCGGCAAATTATGTAAGTTTGAAATTTTCTGCGAATGTCAGACGAGTTTCACTCGTGAATTTCTCTTTTTACACTTCCTGAATTTATTTTTTGTCTTTATTCCCCTATTAAGGGGTTTGAACATGACTTTATATACAACTTCAAGGAGTGTTTTGTATTACTGCAATAAACTTTTATACATATACGCTAACGATTTATACAGTTTTGAAGATTATAAACTTCATTTTGAATTGTGTAAGACGTGAAGATTTGAATGCTTCTTAACCGACCTTGAAGGCGTGGCCGGGGCGAGGCGTTTGAGAATCCAATTATCGTACATGTACCAAAAAATCCGTTTTGGACATGGTCGCTGCGGGCGAAGTTGATTTAGGAAAAAGGCCTAAAGATGACTCCAACAGGAGCATCGTGAAAATGGAGAATTTTTTGGAACCTCCAGAGGTTAACAACCGGATGACAATATTAGCCCAAAATGGCGTCTTTTTTACCTGTTGTGTACCTGTTAAATACCTGGCAGTCTAAATCCTTGTAAATATTCCCGTTTGTCAATATTAAAATTATAAAAAGTGATATCAAAAAACCCGCAAAACACGTTTCAAAATTTATAATGGAGGGTCAAAAGATTGAACAGCTTTCAGACCATGCAAAATGTAACTCTTTTTCTTCTTATTCCATTCATTATTTTGGTCAGCCAATCTTGAAAAACATTTTTTGAAAATCAAATTTACAAACCATTATATATTGTGCGAGTGTAAAATTATGAATTTAAAATTGCACGTGGATTGTATCCAATAAGGGACACCTGTTAATATCCGGCAGCCTAAATCTGGCCAAATATTCGCGTTTGTCAATTTACAAAGGGAAAAAAACTGTTATATATATTTTTAAAAAACGCATTTCAAAATTTACAATGGAGGGACGAAAGTTTAAAAACCTTCCAGACTATGCTTAATTAAATATTTGCGCTTATTCCACCCATTATTTTGGCCAGCCAATCTTGAAGAACATTTTTTGAAAATCAGATTTACAAACGGTTGTATATTGTGCAAAATTATGAATTTAAAATTGGACGTGAATTTTATCCAATAAGGGCCACCTGTTAAATATCCGGCAGCATAAATCCGACCAAATATTTGCGTTTGTCAATTGACAAAGGGAAAAAAACTGTTATATCAAAAAAAAAAACCAAAACATTTCAAAATTTACAATGGAAGGACAAAAGTTTGAAAACCGTTCAGACTATTCTTAATTAACTATTTTTGCTTATTCCATTCATTATTTTGGCCAGCCAATCTTGGAGAACATTTTTTGAAAATCAGATTTACAAACCATTGCGTTCTGTGCAATTCTAAAAACTATTTTAAAATTGGACGTCAATTTTATTTAATAAGAGCCACCTGTTAAACACTTGGTATGCTAAATCCTTCTAAATGATCCCCTTTTGTCAATATAAAAAAATCCCCGTAATATCGAAAAACCCGCAAAACGCATTTCAAAATTTACAATGGAGGGACAAAAGATTGAACACATTTCAGACCATGCATGATCTAACTATTTTTTCTTCTTATTCCACTCATTTTTTTTGGTCAGCCCATTTTTAAAAACGTTTTTAAAATTCAGGTTTAGAAACTATTACACATTGTAAAATCTGACCAAATATTCGCGTTTGTCAATTTACAAAAGAAAAAACTGTTATATCAAAAAATCCGCAAAACGAATTTCAAATTGACTGCTTCGATTTAAAATTGGAAGTCAATTTTATCGAGTAAGAGTCCTCTGTTAAAAAATAAAAAAATAGCAATGTAAATTTGAAACGAACGCAGAATTTTCTAAGCTACTTATTCAAATTTGATTTTAAAGAAAAAAAAAACAATCGATTCGTCCAAACCAATAATAAAATTCAAAATTGAACGAGTGAAATTGTTTTAAACGATTTCTGAACTATTCGAAAAAACGCTCTTATCGCATTTTTTGACTTATCGGTAAATAATCTCTTTTACCTCAGGTAACATTGTCTAGAAAGGCCGATTAAAATGTAGATTATGCTTTTTTTTATTCTTTTTTTATTTATTTATTTTTTATTTTTTTGTTTTCAGATTTACTGCCAACCTTGGCGTCCCAATGTCGGTCTTACTAAGCAATATTCTTAGTCATTGCATTTTCAAACGGAAAACCAAATAGTAAAAAAATGTTTAAACAATTAGCATCACGATGCAATCGAAATAATCCCAGTGTACAGTAAAAATCGATGAGTCTGATGAAAGTTATTATTATTAGCATTAAACATGTTTTTAATTAATCCCGAGAAGATATTGGGTATTTTTAATTAAAAGAGAAAAAGTTTAAAGAATAGGTTAGACTTGTAGGTACAATATCTAATAAAATCAACTCGAATACCAACAATCAAACAATTAAAAGTTTATATAATAATTGTTTAAAATTTATAATAATAATTATTGCCAGGAAACAAATGAAAAATGAAATTCTTTCCAAGCAAATTTTCATATTATAAATAATTTAACACGATCAATATCCTTTAAAAAAAAAATAATAATTCCGATATCGGCGGGTTCACTTTTGCAACTAACGTCGTGCGAGAGACGTGGTTGTAGAAATCCTTCAGCCTGATGATGAGCTAAGGGCTCGAAATCCGGATCGTTAGGAAACAACTTACTGTGAGTAGGTACTATCTTTTTTAAAAAAAGGATTGAACATCGCACTCACTCCATCATTCATCCTATCTATGATCAATTTCCTTCCTTGTCTTTCAATTTCCTTCTGCTAGTCATTCGCTCTCTCTCTCTCTCTCTCTCTCTCTCTCTCTCTCTCTCTCTCTCTCTTTCTCTATCTATCTATCTATCTAAAACAAAAAATCTAAGCAAAAAAAAAGTATATCAAAATCAATTAGAAGATAATGTTTTTTTTTAATTCATGTCTAAAATTTACTAAAGATGTTCTCGTCCTTGGTTGACGGATGATTATACAGATTATACATTTATTTAGAATGCTTAAATATATATTTAATTAATTAACATGGTCAATTTCCTTCCTTCTCTTTCATTGTCTATTGCAAGAGCTATTTTGGTTTTCTTTTAAATCATATTCTTACATTGCACATCGTTAAATAAAATCAACAGACAGGTAACAAAAAAAGAAAAGGAAATAAATAGAATAAATCTTTCATCTTTCTCTCAAGGTAAATACTATTATAAACATATTGACCAATTTCCTTCCTTATTCTCTCTTTTTGTTCTTTCCCTTTCTCTTTTTCAATCTTCATCTCCCGCTCGCTCTTTCTTTCTCATCAAGTCACTATTCTTACCTCCATTAGTCTTTTACTCCTAATTTTTTCTTATTGTCCTCTTACTTTTCTATTTTATGAATTACTTTCTATGTGCTAGTCATTCGCTCTCTCTCTCTCTCTATTTCTTTATACCTTCCCTCTCACTATCTTTTTCAGGGTTTCTCTTAACTGTTTCTTTCTCTTATTCTCTATCTATTACTTATTATTTTTACCTCAAAATCTTAGCTATACCAACCAGTCGTTCGAACACTATTTTCCTTTATCTTCCTCTCACCTTTTCCACATTTTTTTCTTCTCTATCACTTGTTCTTTAGCTTATTTAGCCATATTTACTTGTTGACTCACTATCTTTATCGTCCGCTCATTCTTTTCTGTGTGACTATGTAGGTAGGTATGTGCATTTCTCACTCTCTCTCTCTCTCTCTCTCTCTCTCTCTCTCTCTCTCTCTCACACACACACACACACACGTTTACATTATGCTACGCTTAGCTTGATTTTGCCTTGGGCTTAAAGATAAGACTACACGCTCAAATAGAAACAAACCGACAACAAAGAAACAAAAAGAAAGAAACTCAAAACATCTTTGACCTATAAAAATCATTCATGAGAAAGCAGTGAATAATGACTGAATTCAAGGAAGACCCGAGCCAAATTAATATGCGGTTTAATTATGCTGTAATCCCCGCTCGTGTGAATCACTGCTCAATGAATACAGTTGATAGGTCATATATGGCAGGTGTTCATAAAACCGAACAATTAAAATATTGTTATTATATATAAAAAAATAAAGTTAGGCATTTTTGTAAGTAAAGATGGTAACAAAATATACTATTAATAAAAACTTGAAATGTTAAAACTGCAAATATTTTATGGTGAACCTTCATAAATACGTTTGTGCGGAATAAGGGCGGTTATTTTCAACCAGGCATAAAGGCACAATGCCAAAATTAAATTTTTATTTGGTGATTGATCACTAGGCGAATTAAAACTAGCCGGTTTGTTTACAACTACTAACTCCCAAGATCAATCAAATAGACGTCCAATAATTTGCTTCGAAAATTAGTGTTGAAAGTTTATGTACAAGGGGCCGATTCGAATTGTTTCTAAACGCTTTAAATTTGATAATACAAGCGGAGTTGTTGTGAGGGAGGAAAAGTAGTTCAATAATGACTCTCACAATACCTGAAATTCCAGGAAATTTGTTCCATTATAATTTGCCATTCAGAAACCGTAAGAGATACCGATAGGCTTTCGTAATTATAACGAGTCGTCCTTCATCGAGTCGTAAGCGGGAATAGGAAACGGAAAACGGACGAGAACGGCTTCAGCAATCGGTGGATAAATTGCAACCGATATTTTCCTTCCTATTCGCTTAAAAAGTTACAAAGAGAACCTTAATTTACACTTTGTTCAAAATTTTCTCTAGGGGAACTGTTATAAGAAAAGAACTTTTCTTGTTTAATAATGTGGGAAGTTTATGGTCGAAAAACTGCTCAGGTCATCGCCGGCACTGCGTGTTTTTCCATCTCTTTCTAATCTTTCACGCATATTTTTTAGCCTACAGCTATTTGAGCGTCTCGATCTGTTACTGATTCTCTGATTTTAAATTAAAACTAAGTCTGTATCCTAAAATGGTAGCCTTTCATTTGTGCCTCAGGTTGTCCCCAGAGTACTGTATCCTCGGGGAGAGATTGAACCCACTCCATTCTC